ATCACCTGTGGGCTGCTATCTTGTATGCCTGCACACTGTACGTTTACGTGTTGAAAGACCGAGAACATATATATGCGTGAGGACCCGCGAGAATCCGATGACATGCCCTGATCAACTGCCAAGGTCCAATAGAACCGTTTGTAAATTCCCATTGGGAGGGGATGTCCACCGATGTGTTGTAGACGTTCCGCCAGGCCTAGAAGCCTGCTCTAGATAGCGACCAGCAGTCAACAGTTAAAAACCATACGGAAATAATGCTCACAAACACCGCATACTACTACCTTTGGTTAGAGGGAAAGAAAACATGAAGAGGTCCCGTGGGGTCATCTGTATGAACCTTGTTTTTCACTTAACTTGAACCTTTTTATTCACTTGACTCGTACTTGAACAGCTATGATCATGCCTGGTCCAGCCGGACTCAATGCTGTCAGGCACTATACCTCTCCACGCGTGACGATTAGTGGCAGCGGATTGGGAAAGCTCCACCTTTTCTCTTCTCCAACGACGGAGACCGAAAACCCAAGGAGCATACACCGCTTCCATGTCTTGACGAACGGTGTTGAGTCAGTCTTGAGGTTCCCTCGTCTTCGGTGCCGGGCAGCATAACAAGGCTGGCGAACCGGACCGCGGAGGACGTGGCCAAATCATCTGATGGCCTGAGATATTCTAGCAATACTGTCGCAGTGATTGTGGACTGTCTCATTTGAGATGAAATCGATGTACTTCACTCGAAAAATGGTGCTTGCGCGTGCGTCTCGCCTTGTCGATACTTCCCTAAAGCTGTCTATAATAGAAAAAATAATCATTTACATTATAATCATCGTCATCCTTCGCCTGATCCTCCGTAAAACAACATCTGCGAGGCAGATCTTGAAGCAACGCTGCGACAAGCTGGCGCGACCTACTTGAAAGGCGCTTTTAATCAACAGCTCACAGCTGTCCTCTTCAGGCCTCGACTGCTCTCAAGTGGAGAGCGGAACAGACACCCCAGCGTACATCTGGTCACCTCTCCTGCTACCTCGTCTCAGTTGTGAACACGCAATTATATCAAGGCAGAATTAGTCAACCGCATATCAAAGGGCATTCGTCGTCGCTCAACACAACATAAAAAAGAACTTGGAAGCTAGGAGGGGGGGAGGCAGGATTCCGCGACACACGTCGAATTCAAAAGCATGCAGGACGGGTGGAAAAGACCGGTGTCCTCCAGCCCGCAAC